CGCGAGCCGAGAGCGTCGCAAGTGGTCTGGCGCTTCTGGGGGGAGCCGACTGCAAAGAACGCCAGACAACTCAAGAGGCGAGTTGCCCGTCAGGGCCCCCCCGACCCGCCATTCCAGGCTGCACGGGGGCAGGGCTGCATCATTCTCCTCGCCCTGCTTAGCGCACTGGTGAAGGCTAGAGTCGAGCTGCTGCTCAAGGGCGCGCTGCTCCGACATTGCGCTCATAGATGTTGCGCTCCGAGCAGTGCTGGAATCGCTCGTGGCAGTCAAAGTCGAGCTGTTGTGTGACGATGTACTGCAAGCCACTGAGCTGCTGCTCCGTGGCGTGGTGCACGACCCACTGCTTGTCTCACTCGCGGATGTTCGAGTCGTGTTGCTTCTCCACACCGCGCCCATGGTCATCGCAGTGGTGCTCGGAATCGTGGTGCTCGTGATCCTGCTCGTCTAAGTCGCGGGTGCCCAGGTCGCTCTGCTGCTCTCCAAGGCGCTGCAAGTCCATGCCGTGCTCTTCATTTACTTGTGAAGTCAGAGTCGCACTGCTGCTCAGCGTCGTGCTGAAACTGTTGCTTAGTGACGTGGTGCTCGTCACCGAGCTCGGTGCACTCGTGGAGGTCTCAGTCGTGTTGATGCCTTACCTCGTGCTGCTGGACCCTGGCGTGCTGTTCAGAATGCTCGAATCAGTGTTGCCGTTCGACCTCAGATGTCTGTGACGTGCTGCTGCTCAGCGTGAAGCTGCCAGTGGTCGAGGTGCTGCTCAGAGACCTCGAACTCGAGAACAGTGGTGGAAGCCGTGCTCGCCAGTGGTGATGAATAGTGGTGGAAATGGTGATGATGGCGGCCTCCCTTTGCTCCATGCGCTCCCACACCACGGCACTGAACAACACCTCGGTACCCAACAACCCGACGATGAACGGCAACACATGTTGCCTCCCCTAAAACAAAACATCAAACACATATAAAACAAACTCACCAGCATGCGGGCGACTACGGCACCGCTCGATTTCAGAGCAACAGCGCCGACCACCACACCGAGTCCGCAGCGTCGATGTTTCAAGCGACTCATCCTGCACTTCTCTGTCCGTAGCCTCGATGGCCGCAATAAGCCATTGGCAGCATCCCCCAGCGCTCCGCCAACATCTGCATCGACACCCACACCAGGCGCAGGTCCTGGAGGTAGTCAGACGGATGAGCAGAAGGAAACGTGGCACCATCACGCGCACGAAACCAGCCTAAACCAGATGGACTCGAGTTGGACTCGCCTGCAGATGCGCAAATACTTTCGTGGCCAAGCTTCTTGCAGTGGCAGCTGCGGGGGAGGTGGAGGAAGAGGCGTGCGCTTGACTCGTGCCCCTGAGGTGGACGAGGTGGTGGAGGAGGAGCAGGAAGAGGCGGAGGAGGTGGACTGCCAGCGTGCTGTCAGCGTGCATCCGCTCACGCGAATGTGCGCCGGATGCCGCGGGGCGCGGCCGAGCAGGCGGCAGCGCGCATGTGCGCGCCGTGCCGACCGCGCGGGCGGGCAGAGGCAACTCCGCCCTCGTCGACATCAGTCCGCAGCCCCAGAAGGCTCCGACCGCTTCCCCCGAGGATAGGTTTCCGTCCCGGGTCCGTTCCTGATGGCCCCGGGGCCCGATAGCGGGGCCCGGAGGTCCAAATCGAGGAAAATCGCCCGGACAGAAGAATAATCCATGTTATCTTCGCAGGGAACGTATGTTTATTCAGATTCTGGAAGCTATACTTGCATGGCATTCCCCCCCCCTCCCTACTTGCATGGCATTCCCCCCCCACCCTCCCCCCTCCGCCGCTTGTCAAACAGCGCTGGGCACACAGAAACAAGTGTGCCCCGACTTGCGTGAAGCGCAGACTTCCTTTTCGGCCTCGCCACGTCCCTGCCTACCCCCCCACAGCAACAGCAGCAACGCAGATCCAGACACTTCTTTTCCATCTTCGGATCCTGGAGACTTGGGACATCCGTGTGCGGACTTGCTGCAGCCCCGCTGCTAAGCCTCAGCATGATATCGTCGAAGGTCGTGGCCGCGGCCGCGGCCGCCGCCGTGTGCATGCCTGGGTGATATACACATCAGCTTCACGACAGTGCACATATGGGAAATGCACTTACTTTCTTGCACATCGTTCCTCCTCCCCTCCTAAACTTCTCTGTTTCTGCCCCTGCCTCTTCTTCCTCATGTCCCTCAGCCCACTCCTGCCCTACCCCTGGTTCCTCACCTCCTCTACCTCCGCGGCCGCCGCCGCCGCCGAGGAGGAGGAGGAGGAGGAGGAGGAGGAGGAGGAGGAGGAGGAGGAGGAGGAGGAGCAGGAGGAGGAGGAGGAGGAGGAGGAGGAGGAGGAGGAGGACGGGTCGCCGAGGGAGGAGGAGGAGGAGGAGGAGGAGGAGGAGGAGGAGGAGGAGGAGGAGGAGGAGGAGGAGGAGGAAGGAGGAGGAGAGGAGGAGGAGAGGGGGAGGGAGGAGGAGGAGGAGGAGGAGGAGGAGGAGGAGGAGGAGGAGGAGGAGGAGGAGGAGGAGGAGGAGGAGGAGGAGGGAGGAGGAGGAGGAGGAGGAGGCAGGAGGAGGAGGAGGAGGAGGAGGAGGAGGAGGAGCAGCAGGAGGAGGAGGAGGACGCCGCCGCCGCCGCCGCCGGCGCGCGCCGCTCCGCCGACCGCCGGGGGAGGCTCCGGGCGGTGGTGGGCCACGCCTCCGGCGGGCGGCGCGGCGGCGCGCGGCCACGGCCTCCCGGAAGGAGACCGCGGCGGCGCGGCCGCTCGCGGGCGGCGCGCTTTCCTGCGGCGCCGCGGCGGCCATCCCCCCCCTTCCCCTCCAGACCTCTGGAAGTCGACGCCATGAAAAACTCATTCTTCAGCCGAGAAAAGCCCCAATCAGTGGATGGTTTGAGATGGGATCGATAAAGAGATCGATAAGACGATCGACTGGGAACCCGGGAACCCGGGAACCCGCCCCCCACGGGCCTGTCACCGTGCGTGCAGTGCCGGGGGGGGGGGCGGCCCGTCTGCCCATCCCACATCGTAGGGGGGGGATGCGGGGTCCCTGAAGACAAAGCAGGCCGAGTGGGCAGCACAGCATGCTCAAAAGCAAAACAGAGAGACATCATAGCCTCGTCGTTTGCGCTTCTCGTTGGGATTCCTTTCGTGCGTGGCATGGCAGAATCATGACGGGATTGTGTCCGCCATTTTCGGCCTCCGGAGGCCCGTCAAAAAACGGCTCGGTCCAGACCTCTGGGGGCCGACGCCATGAAAAACTCATGACGTCGGAGGTCTGGGCCCAAATCTCAAGGAGGATATGCTAATTTCAATCCGAACGTGGTTCCTCGCTTTGGGCCCCTGAGGCCCGTCATCGGGCCCGGGGGCCAGCAAAGGACCCAGGACGAGAACGACCCCTGGCCTGCGGACCGAGGCCTCCCGCTCCGCGATCGTGTCCCCGACTCCAGCTTTGCACTGGCCCCCGTTTCCGGAGCCCTGAGCCCTGATCCTCCTCAGCCCTCCCGGCGCCTCCCTCTACAGAGGCTCCAGAGTTGGCACAAAGTCGGAGGCTGCTCGGGCTGGCCTGGCTTAGTGACACGGACCAGGGGGCACCCCCGCGCCCAGCCCGAAAGCATCGCTCGACTGCACAGTGGCAACTTCGCAGCCCCCGCCCCAATCCAAGACAACATGAGCGACCGCCAAACTTCGCCAATCAATGCTTGCACTCAAGGGGTCCTCGCAGACATTGAAGGATTTTGGGCAGGTGAGCTGCCGATTTCGGTGGACGGTCGGGTTCCCAAGTGCCTGCGTAAGATCGCAAGGAACTGGTGCATGTTTCCAACCGGTTGCGGTGGGCGGCTGGGATGTTCCTGCAGCGTGCCAGGCGAGACTCTCGCGAATCCTCAGGGATGCCCCAATCTGAGCAGGGACCGACCGTCCCAGCAACCCTATAGGCCTACCGCGACATGATCTTAGAACCCAGATATGATCTACGAACAAAAACAATTTTCTTAGAACCTAAGCCCAATGTGTTAAAACACGACCGTCTCGGCCAGACAGGCTCTAAGAACATTTCGTGCAGACCACAACAAGTTTTTAGAACATTCTTTGGTGGGCCTAAAGGCGAGCCAAGACGCTCCGCCACTGCTTGACCAAGGCCGCAACAGGCCCCCCAGGAGGCTCCAAGACGGCTCTACACTCTACACAGATTTCAAGAGCGCCCACAGCCAACATGTGCGCATTCGGGGGTGGACAGGAACCCCTTTAGTAACATGTAACATGTGGTTTAGTGAAAACGACCTCGGGCCCAAACCTGGCGGGCGCAAGCTTGGAAAATGACGGCCGCGGCGCCCTCTCGAGAACCGAAAACAGACAATTCACTAGTCAACGGGTCAGGGAGGGGATCCTGTCCGCCCCCGACGCATCCTGACGTTGGGCCCTCCTGGGGTCCACATGGAGCCCTCTTAGGGCCCTGCAGGCGGTGCCGCCCTCCGGCGCCGCGCTGCGGCCCCCCTGGGTCTCCCCCCAACGCGCCCCAGGCGGTGGAGGGTTCCTCCGAAGGGCTTAGGCGACCCGTCCTCCTCCTCCTCCTCCTCCTCCTCCTCCTCCTCCTCCTCCATCTCCTCCTCCCCCCCTCCTCTCCTCCTCCTCCTCCTCCTTCCTCCTCCTCTCCTCCTCCTCCTCCTCTCCTCTCCTCCTCCTCCTCCTCCTCCTCCTCCTCCTCCTCCTCCTCCTCCTCCTCCTCCTCCTCCTCCTCCTCCTCCTCGGGTCGCCTACGGCCCCGGGGGAAACCGTGCACCAGGTGGTGCGGCGGCGCGGCACCAGAGAGGGGCCCCGCCGCCCCCCCGCCCCCACTGACCAGAACTGCCGTCGCAGGGGGTGGACAGAACCCCCTTTAGAAAAACGTGGTTGAGTATAAACGGCCTCGGGCCCAAACCTGGCGGCAACCCTGGAACATGACGGCCACGGCGTCCTCTCGAGAACCGAAAACGGACAATTCGACAATTCACTAATCGACGTGTCAGGGTGGGGGTTGTGTCCACCTCCGACGTCACCCGATAGAACGCATGCTGCGGCAGACCTGGCTTTGTGATTCGGGCCCGGTCTGGTACCGAGCGCCCTCGGGCACCGCGCGCCGGCGCTGGCACTGTCCCTTGGCAGACTCACGGGCCGGAGCTGTCGTCGCCGAGCGCTCTCTGAAGTGCCCTGCTGGTGGGCGGTCTGCCCGTGGGGGGGCTGCCGGCAGGGGAGCCTACATCTCCAGCGCTGGTTTTTAAAGCGACGCTGGCTCTGGAACTACCGACCTAGCTCCCGAGCCTGTTCTTGCGCGGCGGCACGTTGCTTTACTGCCCCTGGGCCCCAAACAGCCCCCCGAAGGCCCACTCTCTGGACAAAACTGCCCGGCATGCGTATCTTTGCGCGACGCCCGCGAGTCTGGCGTGTCTGTGGCGGCAACGCCGGTTGGCGTTCTGGTGCTGGCGCGATCGAGCGACCACCCCCGGGGCCTGGACGCCCGTGTTCGCCTGCGCCGCCAACGAGTCCTTCGAGTACCCTCGCTGGCATGGCATGGCCAGGCGGGCGGCCAGGATCGCCGCGGAGAGAAGGGAGGGTGGGGAGGGGAGGAGGTCAAGCTTGGTGCGCTCGCGTCATATCTGACGTCCTACCCCTCCTCATCCCTTACCATGGCGTAGATCTCCTCTCTATTCGCACAATCGGATGTCGCAGCATGGTATAGCATGGTGTTGAAGATCAACGCGTCGCATCACATAGTATCGCGTGGCGACGCCCCAAAGCGGGGGGGGGCTTCTGCTGCTTAAAAAATCAACCAACCGACGCCTAATGTGTAATCACTTCCGATGGTTTTTTCGGGAGGCCATTCTCTAGATTTTTGGGCCTAGTTGGAAGGACCGAAAACCATGCCGTGGCCTGGCACTGGAAATGATGACGCCAGCGCTGCAGCGGGAGCACGATTCGGGACGAGCGGAAGCGCGGAAATGAGGCCAACGCGGCAGCGGGAGCACGATTCGGAACGAGCGGAGGCGCGGAAATGAGGCCAGCGCTGCAGCGGGAGCACGATTCGGGACGAGCGGAAGCCCGAAAATGAGGCCAACGATTCAGCGGGAACAACATTTCGAACAAAAACACCCAATCGAAAACCCAACTCCTGGGAATCCAGTGTAAAAAAACAATACGCGGAGGGGGTCGTATATCTTCCGGACGTCATTAAGGGAGAGAGTTTAGAGTAGCATTCATATTTTGCAATTGTGGAGGAAACGGGGGGAGTCGGCGGACGGTCGAGGCGCAAGCAAGGAAACACCAGAGGCACGAACCAGGGAATTCTTCTGGCGCGTGCCAGGATTTTTCGCGGCGACGGCCAGGAGATCCGAGGGGGAGGGGCGAGCAAGGAAGTTCAGGGAAGTGGAGCGAGGAACACCGAAACGAGAAAACGGGAAACAAGAACCCGAAAGCAGAACACGAGGGCGGAAGAAGAGGGGGAGAAGGGGGTGGAGGGGGAGGTATCGACGAAGATGACGACGACAACGGCGGAGACTGCAACGGCGATGGCGAGGCCGCGCAGCGCCGACCCATCCACCCGCGCACGCGCGCGCTCGTTTCTGCTCCTCTTTCTCCTTCTTGCCCCCCCTCCTCTCTCCTCCTCTTCCGTCCTCTACCGTTATCCTCCTCTCCCCCTTTCCGTCCTCTTCCCTCGTCGTCCCCACGGCGGCCAGCAACCGATTTACCCCGCGGTGTCAGACACGTGCAGGCGCTAACATCTCCCTAATGCACTTAGAAGCATGTTGCCTCCAGCACCCCCTGGCCCACTACATTATGTGATCGAACATCCCCTTCCCTCTTGCTATCCTTAACGTCATCGCCTTGTTGATCGTACTCGCCCTCCTCCTCCTCTTCCGCACCGTACCTACGTAGATCCCACAACCACTCGCCGCCGCGTCCTACGAGCGCGCTCCATCCCTATCAGTCATCTTTGCGCCTGCTTTACCTCTGCATTGCTCGCGGTCGTGCTATTGCTTGGCTCCCCTTGTTTTCCTCGGGCCGGGCGAAAGGGGGTGATAGCAAAGGGGGGATTTGAGAATGAGCTCACGTAGCTGATTTTCCTGCGGCCATGTATCGAGGAATCCGCCGATCCGGCGTGTGAGTTTCAAGGAGTCTCAGCTACAGCCTCGAGGCTGAGCTTCAGCCTCTGGGGGGGTCGCCGGGGTGGCTCTGCCGGGGAAGGGGGGGTGGGGGGGGGGGGGGGGGTGCGAGTTTCCGGCGAACCCCGGGGCCGCTCCGGGGGAGTGGAAGATAGGGGGGGGGGGGGCGCCATGCTCCGCTTTTTCCGGCGCTTTGGAGGAGGGGGGGGGCCCAAGAGACCCCCAAGGGGTTCCAAGAGGGCCCCGAGTCGCCGAAAAATCGCTCCAAGACGCCCGAGATGGCCTCCAGACGGCCCAAGGTGTCTCCAAGACGCCCCAAGAAGCTTCCAAGAGGCCTCCCAAGAGGGCCCCAAGAGGCCAGAATCGTTGATTT